TTTTGTATGTTAAAATTCGAGGAAAATAAGGAAATGTAGTTTTATATTTATATGTTAAAATAACATTGACGTGACAAACAATGAATTAATACAAATAAATTTTATTATTGGTTTTTTATTTATTAGCAACATTTTCATTTATTCAATTTTGAAGTTTGTCTTGTGGGCCCAGATCCACCGCTAGCCGATATTGTCCTTTTTGTGCTTTATGAGGAGTCTCCAACCAATGTGGGACTCTTACAATCCACTTCCTTTGAGGCCCTGTCTGGGGAAGGTTTTCATACCCTTACAAAGAGTGTTTCAGAGTGTTTCGTTCTCGTCTCCAATCAATGTGAGACTCTCACAATCCACCCCCTTCGAGGCCCTGTCTGCTAGGGGAAGGTTTTCATACCTCGTTCTCCTCTCCAACCAATGTAGAACTCTCACAATTCACCCCCTTCGAGGCCCTGTCTGCTAGGGGGAGATTTTCATACCCTTATAAGAAGTGTTTCGTTCTCCTCTCTAACCAATGTGAGACTCTCACAATCCATCCCCTTCGAGGCCCCAGGGTCCTCGCCGGCACTCTTTCCTTTCTCCAATTAATGTGGGACTCCTTCCAAATCTACCCCCCTTGTAGCCCAACGTCTTTACTGGCACACTGTCTCGTGTCTACCTCTCTTTGGGGAAGAGCCTCCTCGCTGGCGCATAATCTGGTGTCTAGATTTGATACCATTTGTAACTGCCTAGATCCACCGTTAGCAGATATTGTCCTCTTTGGACTTTCCCTTTCGAGCTTCCCCTCAAAGCTTTAAAACGCGTCTGATAGTGAAAAGTTTTCACACTCTTATAAAGAGTGTTTCGTTCTCCTCCCCAACCAACCTCGGACTCTCACAGTTAAACATTTTTAAAGACGTCAAATTAAATATTGATCTTATTTATTTATTTATTAATTATTATTATTATTATTTTGGGAAAAAGATGAATTGATAATTTTTATAAAATTTATTTGTATTTTATAAATAAAATAAAAAAAGTTTGGCGAATCTGTGTCTGAACAAAAATAATAAACAGAAACTTTAATCTTAGATGACAGCAAGTTGATAGTGGAATCTGATTCGACAGCTCGTTGGTTGTTGCATACAATTAGAGTGAAGTTGTCGGTGGCATAGAACACTAGTCAAATGTTACCGATTCGATCCAAACAGAATTTATAGCTTTCAAAACAAATCCAAAATAATAATAATAAATAAATAAATAAATAATTTATGATCCATGTATATGATTTGAAATCTCGATGACCCGTCGCATGGTCATGCTATCTACACTATAACGATTCAAGCCCACCGCTAGTAGATATTATTCTCTTTGAGTTTTCCTTTAGAGCATTTAATACGAGTCTGCTAAATGAGAGGCTTCTACACCTTTATAAAAAATGTTTCGTTCTCCTTCCTAACCGACGTGGGGATCTCACAATTCACCCCTTTCGGGGCGAGCGTCCTCATGGCACTCATTTCCTTCTTCAATCGATGTGAGATCCCCTAATCTACCCTCCTTCGGGGCTCATCCTTCTCGTTGGCACATCGCCCGATGTCTGGCTTTGATGCCATTTGTTACGACCCTAAATCTCACTGTAAGCAAATATCGTCATCTTTGAGCTTTCCTTTCGAAATTTTCCTCAAAGTTTTTAAAACGCGTTTGCTATGGAGAGCTTTCCACACCCCTATAAAAAAATGTTTCGTTCTCCTCTCCAACTGATGTGGGATCTTACATACACCTCGCTTTTTAAGCGTGAACACTGTTCTCACAAATCAACATGACTTGTTACAGCATAATTTGTCCTCACTCATATGCTCAGACAAATTTCTAGAAGATCACCTAACATAAAATTGCTCAAAGTAAAGCATTAATCACAGCAAATAAAGGTACACATTGTTAGTATAAATATTAATTTTAATTTTTTATTCATCATAATTTGAGAATCGCTCTCGTTCGGATGTGATCTCTGTTGCATTTTCTTTATTCTAGTGTTGGTTACACTATTATGAGCAAGAAAATTGGACCAATTGTGGCTACAAGAAAGCGACAGTTTTGTATAGTAAACGGGCCCATGACAATAATAATTAATTTATCTGTATAGTCTTAAATTATCCACTTTCTACGTGTATTTAAACATCGTCAATAAAAATAATTTTATAGCATTATTTATTTTGTCACGTCACTAATAGTTCATCCAATCGTAGCACTTTAATTTTGGAACTTTTAAATTAGAATATTCTTACGTACCTAAATTGATAATATATGACCATCTATTAATCGGTCTATTTGAGTTAATTTTGAAGCTTAACTTATTAAATTATGTTTTTGGCATCGATGAATTATTTTAAGTTGTGATCGAATCTTTAATTTTAAAGTTCGGAGAATCTAATTCAAACCCGAGTGATATGAACCAAGAGACATCAATCATACAATATGCTTCAATGAAGATGTGGAGAAAAGGTTATCAAAATAATCAAAAGATGTTTCAATTCATGCTACATTGAAGAAGAATAAAGTTTGATTGTTGTAAATTTTGGGTGGGTTATAATTTAGAGTTATTGTGTTTTAAGACTTAGAAGATATATCAAAAGAAGCATTTGTGCTTTTCTTTAGCCAATGGCTAAGTTTCTTTGCAACTCTATGTAGTTTAGGTTGCATGTAGAATCATTCAAGCTCGATATGATCAATCTTGCTTGTGGAGTGATTCGAATCTCAAACAAGTGTTTGAGATTACTTGATCAACAAGAATCATTGAAGCTAGACATGATCGATCTTGCTTCTGGAGTGATTCGAATCTCAAACAAAGTGTTCTTGGCTTGAGATATTCGATCGACAAGGTAATCCGAATCTTATTCCCCTTGTAGTTGATTCTTTATCTTATCACCGAGCTTGCATGGTTCGTGGTTAATTTTAGGATTTGAGACGGACGATAAATATATATATATATATATATATATATATATTTATTGCTTTTTAGCGATTCAAAGATTTGCTTGAACGAGTAATGAGCTGGGTTCGATGGTCGTACAATAGATGTTAGTGACTGCAACACTCGAATAAAGGAGAGGTACATGAATGAACCGAGACCAAATCCGAGAAAGATCATGAGGACGTAATAGCTAAGAAACACTTAAACGAATTGAAAATCACTACATATATCAACAATATACACATTCATTTTCAGTGGGTCAATCATAGAAACTTTGTGGTTAAATTCTATGTTGGGTGACCACGATGAAAGTCCCACGTTAGCTAATTTAGGGAATGAGCATGAGTTTATAATCAAATAATACTTTCTTCATTGTTGTGAGGCCTTTTGGGAAGTCTAAAACAAAACCATGAGAGCTTATGTTCAAAGTGAACAATATCATACTATTATGGAGCGTCGTGTTCGTCTAACATGGTATGAGAGTCATGCCCTAAACTTAATCGTTTCAGTATGTATATAATATTTTAATTTTTAAAATATATTAATAAAAAAACTAAATAATTAGAGGTAAATGCTTAAATATTTTTTAACCTACTATTAATTACTACGTACATATATTTTCAAAATTATGATGGGTGGTGGGTTAAAGTGGGCATTTACTTCTGAAGGTGGAGAGGGTTAAAGAGGGCATTTAATAATGCCTGTAAATGATATAAAGACAAACGACGTCGGTTAGCTAATGATAATAAATATATATTAATTGTGCGTTGAAAAAGAGTTTTTTTTTTAATAAAAGAAAAATAGCCATTGGTTGAAATTCTGACTGGCTTACGGATGGCATTTAGGTCACGTGAGAGTCACGCCTGACTGTCTCAACACGTGTCAATTTGAATATAGTTTAATTAAGTAATATATTATATTATATGCTTTCGATATAATTAATGTCATATATGGTATATATACCATGTACACTTTTTTTAGAACGTTGATGGTCGTTAGTCGTTAGTCGTTGTTCGATAGCATTGAAACTGTCGTTGGTCAATGTTCAGATTCGTTGTTGATCGGTAGTTTCTAGTGGGTAGTCGTTAGTCGGTGCTTGAAATCCTCGTTGATCGTTGATGAAAAGTGTGCACGTATGTTTTAGGGTTTATGGTAGATTTTGACATCGGACGTCGACTAAGATCGATAGTAAAAAGTTTTGAAATCGATAATAATTGGTGTTTAAAACAAAATCTACCGTTATTTGATTTAATGAATAGTATTATTTAATTTGTTTTTTAGCGTGATTATCAGAGTCCCGACAAAAAATCTAGATAAATGACTTAATTGTAGCTACCGTTTTCATAAATATGACAAAAAACGACAAAAGAATCTAGCATAAAACAAAAAACGACATGAGTTAATCCAGTTCAATGTCGTTTAGCATATCTTAATATTAATATAGCAGAAAATCATGAATTTACAAAAACATCGTACTAAATTAATTAATTTAGCAAATTTTGATGTTGCTACGACTGAAAATCATGCTAATACTCAATATCGATATCGAATGGATAAAAACGACAATTTCGTTCTAAATCCTCCTCTTCTCTAGTATTGAGAACCAAACGGATCGACCATTCTTTTTACGGGTTCAAGTGTCAACCCCAACAGATCTTCTTGCATGTTCATGATCCGAACGTCTTTTCTAAATGGGTTTAAGATTAAAGTAGTGTGATTCTACTCTCGGGTTTCGGGCCAACTCATTACCAATCATTTATGGAGTTCGGGATTAAACGACAATCTATTTATACTCGGGTCATTAATTAAAACTATAAATTAATAATTATACTTGTTTGAGACTTATAATTGTAATAACATAAATTATAATTTCTTTTTGTTGTAATTTAAATTATTCATTCTAAAAAAAATATAAAAAGAAAACCTGCCGAGTGGCCTCCGTCTCACCACTGCCCTTCAGTGCACCTGTCGTTTTGGCCCATAGTTTTGTCGTTTTGGATTTATTTATTTTTTTCTTCATATTTTTAATTATTATTATTTTTTCCTTAGTTTTTTCTCCCCCGCAACAGCGAAGTTTTTCCTCCCCATCCCGCTGGCGGCGCACTTCTCAGAGCCGACGGTCACTCTCACCACCGGCGACGCTAACGTGCGCACCTCACTCTCTTCTTCTTCCTCTCACCAATTCTCGAATGCTTCCATAGACGAGCTTTAAGGTCCGCTCCTCTTTCCCCCACCGACGTTGTGTTTCTTTTCTCCTGTTTATCAGCAATGCCGTTACAAACCCTAGATGCGTGTTTTCTTTCGTCTCTTATTGCATTACGGTTTTGTTATTTTGGTATTCGTCGGCTTAGGAGGCTACTCTTTCTGATACTCGCGGTAGAATTTCTTTTTTTTTCTTTTTTTTTTTAATTTGTATTACGAGTTGAGGATGCATGAATTAGGGTGTTTTTTTTTTTTTTTTTTTTTTTTTTCTTTGGTTATCTGAACGTTTTTCATCTTCTCGGGTGTAGGCTCTATTTGGATTAGCGTCTTATTTTGTGGAGTTCGGCGGTGAATGGTTGTGGAGTTATTCCCCATACGGGTTCTTTGAATTTTTGGTTTTTGATGAGAGAGAGGTGGGAATTGATGGGATGTGTTTCGGATTATTGCTTGATTGCATGTTTTCTCAAGCTGGGTTAGCGTTGCACCATCAAGATTTGCTGGTAATTTATTGAATGTGGGATTGAGAAGATGGAGGGAGACAATAAGAAGTCTGGTTTTAGGAAAAGAACGAAGCCCATGGAGGGTGGGTTTGACTCAGATGATGACGAGCCTATTGGATCTCTGCTGAAGTTGAAGAGATCACGAAACTCCATGAAGAATAAGGTAGGTGTAGATTTTGGCGGTGAAAGAGACAAGATGGTTGACAAGAAAGTAGCGAAGTTGCCAGTTCAAGAGGAGGACTTTGGGGGGATGGATGATACTTTAGCAAGTTTCAGAAAGAAGTTGAGGCGTCCTAAGAAGGTTAGCGGGTTCGGAACATCTAAGGAACAGAGTTCTGGTTTTAGTCGGGCAGAATCATCAGATCCGATATCGAACGCATGCAGAGGACGAGGGGATTTAGACTTGAGTTTTAGACCAGAAAATAGTGAATCAATGGGCCGTGAAGGGTCTGATCTATCTTCAAAGATTGATGCAGAAACGGTGTGTGAAACACCTGATTTTGAATTAAAACACATGGAGACAGGTATCTCTAGGAGGAGAAGTTCTAATTGCTCTTTTGACGAACAGTTGGATGATTCATTGTCAGCATTTGCCCAAAAGATTCAATCTGGTTCAACTAGGAAATCATTGGTATCGACAACATGTAAACCGGATTGCAAGGCTGAGACTTCAGAAGATAAATTGAGTAACTTTTCTAGAGTTGTATCTGGGGATCAAGAAACCTACCCTGTAGTGAGTTCTAGTTCTTCTGCTAAGCTGGCAGAGGTGGCCAAAAAATCAGATTCTGAACTTACTAGGCCATATTTAATATCCTGTTCCTGTTACAGTAGAGAAAATCGTAATCCTGGTCTAGGACAATGCCAAGGGGTTGATGGAGACCGAGAAGAAATTCAATGCGGTGTAAATAATTATGATAATGCTGACATCAAACCATGCATACCAAACGTAGTTGCTGATGAAGATGGCAAAAACTTTAGTCATATTCAATTTGGGGACAATTTCCAGTCGCTGGAAAGGAAGGTCTCCTGTGAAACGAAGAATCAACTAAAACATTGCTCATGTGGCGATACGATGGGGCTAGGTAAAAGTCATCTTAATGAAAATATGCACAATTCTTGTCATGCCCTAGAACAGGCAAATGAAAACAATGGCCTTTGTGGGGGTGTTTCCAATGGAGATTTTTGTGACGTGGTGGCCCATGAGTCCACAGTCGCTTTGTCTAAAACAACTTCAGGTGTAGATTGCGAAGGAAAAGACAGATCACTGGCTATACATTATGATGAATTGCCTAACTCCGCCAATGTTTGTGAAAGTTATTCCAAAGGTTTCTGTAAATCTACTAAAAAATTAAAGATTTCTAATCCTTCTTCCGAAGGAACTACACTCTCCAATCTTGAATTGTTGGCAGCCTTCGAGTCGATGAAAGCGGATAAAACTTGCTGTGACTCTGGTAATTTAGATACTGGTACTGACGAGCCAAAGACTAAAGTTGGTTCTGTGCAGAATGAAAATGCTCTGATCTCTCATAGGATTTCAGATTCAACTGCTGTCTGCCCAGTTGGGAATTGCAGTATGATATCAGATAGTCAACCAGCCAAGGCTTCTGTAGAGGTAGATGGTCCAAATAATAATATACCTGCTGATAAAGAGGTCAAGGTATCTTCTCCTGGGTCTCTGACTCCAGATGATAATGACATTGAGGATGTAATATCTGCTCCTGGAAGTGAAAAAGATTTAAAGCTTTCAGCTTTGCAACGTGTTGTGCGCAAGACAAAGAAGCCTAGACGTGATGACATGGCTTATGAAGGAGATATTGATTGGGAGGTTTTGCTTAATGAGCGTGCAGTTGATAGTGACTATTCTTTTAGATCAAGAAGGGATTCTACTTCAACAACTTTTACGGAGGCGGAAACTGGGGGTAGAGCTGCTGTGTCTGCAGGGCTTAAGGCTCATGCAGTTAGCCTACTTGAGAAGATTAAATTTAAGGAAGTGCTTAAGAGAAAAGGTGGGCTTCAAGAGTACTTAGCGTGCAGGTATTAGTCACTTAATCCTTGTAGTACTACATGCCTTGTTTTTTTATGTCACTTTATTTTGGATAGATTGATTTTTTTTTTCTGTGCCTTGTTTTGTGTCGGTTATTTTTTTTCTATTGCCTTTTCTTTATGCTTTTCTTCACCATGGAGTGTGCAATTGTGGAACTATATCCAGAATCAGACACCTTGAATTTTGTCTAATAATGAATAATATGATGTTGAGTTGCAGTTTTTTGTTGCCTTTTTCGACAGTTTTGTTGTTTTAATAATACATTTGTGGTTAGGTACTGGATGCTGTGCTAAGTCCCATTAACTTTAATGATTAATAAAAAATTTCAATCTTCTCTGTTATTCATGTATATTCAAGTCTATGCCAGTTTTGTTTGGCAATTATTGTAAAAAGGGAATATTGCAAGTTTGTACTGTTTTCTGCTGTATCATGAAGGTTGCTATTATGTGTATCTTATACACGTTGGCCTTGCATGGATATGCGAAGGGGAATGAAGATTTGGAAGGAACATTACTTCCAGCGAATGAAAAAATATTATTATAAACTAAGGCGGAAGTGCTGAGTTCTCCAAGTAATATTGTCATTGGAAGAATTGTCACTCTCCCAGCAATTATGTTTTCTCCAAATAGATTTCTGGAGTTTGGATCATGCATATTGAATTGGTGCTGGAATGGAGCTGAAATAGTGTATATTTGAATTTAATTGATACTCTTTCATCTATGTTTTAATTGTTCAACGATATTTAAAATGCATCTCCTTGCAGGAATCAGATCCTGGGCCTTTGGTGTAAAGATGTTACTCGCATTTTACATCTCGTTGACTGTGGGATCACTGAAACTCCCTCTATGGATGAACCAACGCATTTTTCCCTTATTAGGGAGATCTATGCGTTTCTTAATCTTCGTGTAAGTTAGGACAGGTTATAGAGTATTGACTTGTGTTTTTTTTATGGATCAGTTAGATTGTTTTTTCATTCATTTTCCTCAATGAATAGTTTCTTATGTCATTCTATTTTGGAGGCTTTTTATTTCTCAGGTCAGTATTAATTTCTAATGAAATTGACAGGGTTATATAAATGCGGGAATTGCTTCTGAAAAAGCCAAATCAGAATCTGGCTTCAAGCATGACTGTGAACGGGGAGAAAAGAAAGTTGGAGACATTAGTGTTGCTTCAGCTGCTGATTCTGAGGAAGGCATTTCTGCCATGGTTAAAAATTCTGATGCTTCTAATGCCAAGAACAGTGTTTCAGCTGGCTGTGAACTACCAGAAGATACTGAAGGAAGAGACCTTGTGACTGCAAATAATCTGGAGTTGCAAAAATTTGCAGAACACGAACAAGAATTGGTACATGACTTGGAGTATGGTACTCATGATCCTTCACCGGGAAAATTGGTAGGTATTGATGTTCCAGGTGAAGCTGTCGCCCATTTAGCTCATCATTCAAGTAATGGTTGGCACCCAATTGGCTCCTCTAATGAGTGTGTAGGGGGTGATGAACAACAGCAGAGTAATTCAGAAGTCAGAAAAAAGGTAATTGTTATTGGAGCTGGCCCTGCTGGCTTGACTGCTGCCAAGCACTTGCATCGTCAGGGCTTTACTGTCAACGTACTTGAAGCCAGGAATAGATTAGGAGGTCGTGTTTATACAGATCGCTCCTCTCTTTCGGTTCCTGTAGATCTTGGTGCAAGTATTATTACAGGAGTAGAGGCTGATGTTGCAACTGAAAGAAGACCTGATCCTTCTTCATTGATTTGCACTCAATTGGGCCTTGAGTTGACTGTGTTAAATAGTGACTGTCCTCTCTATGATATCGTTACATGCAAAAAAGTTCCGGTAGACATTGATGAAGCTTTGGAAGCAGAATATAATAGTCTTCTTGATGACATGGTGTTGCTTGTTGCACAAAGAGGGGAGCATGCAATGACCATGTCTCTTGAGGAGGGTCTAGAATATGCCCTTAAGCGACGACGCATGGCTCGATTGGGAATGGATGTTCGTTCCGAGGAAGAAGTTTTGAGTCCCTTTGAGAGGCGAGTTATGAACTGGCATTTGGCTAACTTGGAGTATGGTTGTGCTGCTATGCTGAAGAAAGTATCGCTTCCTCATTGGAACCAGGATGATCTTTATGGAGGTTTTGGAGGAGCTCATTGTATGATCAAAGGGGGTTATAGCACTGTTGTTGAATCTCTTGGTGGAGGACTCAATATTCACCTAAACCATGTTGTGGCTGATATTTCTTACAGCACCGCTGATATTGGGTCGAATGTAAATCAATGTGCGAAGGTAAAAGTTTCCACAACCAATGGATGTGAGTTTCTAGGAGATGCTGTCCTTATTACTGTGCCTCTTGGGTGTTTGAAAGCAGAATCTATTAAGTTTTCCCCACCATTGCCTGAATGGAAGCGTCTGTCCATCCAGCGCCTTGGTTTTGGAGTTCTTAACAAAATTGTTCTTGAATTTCCAGAAGTTTTCTGGGATGACTCTGTGGATTATTTTGGGGCAACTGCAGAGGAAACAAAGTGGAGGGGGCAGTGTTTCATGTTTTGGAATGTAAGAAAAACAGTTGGTGCTCCCGTTCTCATTGCGCTAGTGGTTGGTCAGGCGGCTGTGGAGAGGCAATACATGAGCTCTTCCGATAACATAAGCCATGCATTAATGGTTCTTCGCAAACTTTTTGGAGAAGCTGTGGTGCCTGACCCAGTTGCATCTGTGGTAACGGATTGGGGAAGAGATCCGTTTAGTTATGGTGCTTACTCCTATGTTGCTGTTGGAGCGTCTGGAGAGGACTATGACATTTTAGCCAGGCCTGTTGAAAACTGTTTGTTTTTTGCTGGTGAAGCTACATGCAAGGAGCATCCTGACACTGTTGGGGGTGCAATGATGAGTGGTCTAAGAGAGGCTGTACGCATGATTGATGTATTGAGCACTGGTTATGATTATACAGCAGAAGTAGAGGCAATGGAAGCTGCTCAGAGGCAGTCTGAGTGTGAGAATGATGAAGTTGGGGACGTAATTACACGACTCGATGATGTTAAGATTTCGGATGCTCTCTACAAAAATTCTATGGATTGTGCCAAAGAAGCCTTACTTCAAGACTTGTTTTCTAGTGCGAAAACGACTGCAGGGAGACTGCATGTCGCAAAAGAGTTGTTGAAACTCCCTGTTGAGACATTGAAGTCCTTCGCAGGTACCAAAGAAGGTCTTACAGTTCTCAACTCATGGATTATGGTAATGCCTAAACCTTTTTTCTTCTTTTTTTTGTGTTTTTTTAATATTCTAAGGAATCTCAATATAATTTTTTTTTTTATTGTTGTTTTGTCTCTTAATCATTTATCTCTTAACATTATCATTTATTCATGTTATCAGCCTTTAAAATTTTGGCCTATAATTGATTATAGGACTCAATGGGGAAGGATGGGACTCAACTTCTTCGGCAGTGTGTTCGTATTCTTGTTCTAGTTTCAACTGATCTACTTGCAGTTCGCTTATCAGGTATATCTTTCTGTTCAGCTGTGGTATGTTCTTGCTCTTTTGAGTTTCTTTGTATATCTTTCTTCTTCTTTCTTTCTTCCTTTTTTTCCTCTCTCTTCCTCTCTCTCTCTTTTTAAAAAATAAAAAACCTCTCTTCAACTATTTCAGAATTTTGTAGCTAACCAATGCAGCTCTTTGATAATGTTTATGTTTAAAGTAAACAAGACATTGTTTATTTTTGGTATCAATGTGCTATTGTTTGTTTGCTTATGCATGTTTTTAGGTTGTCATGTTAAGCTCGTACCTTTGAGTAGAAGTTAATTCTTGTTTGTGTGTGTGTGTGTGTATGAATAGAAATTAATATGGTTGGTGAAGGGAATTTACTATATGTTGCCTTTGCCAACAATTGGTGTAGGCATAGGTAAAACTGTCAAAGAAAAGGTATGTGTGCATACAAGCCGTGACATTCGCGCCATTGCGAGTCAGTTGGTTAGCATTTGGCTTGAAGTTTTCCGTAAAGAAAAAGCTGCTCATGGGGGGTTAAAACTCTCAAAGTCGGTTTCTACTGTAGAATCATTGAAGAGGAAATCTAATAAAGATTCTTCTGGGAGACCTCCTTTGCATGCAAACAACAGCACACTGGATAGTAGAGGCAATTTGCAGACTTCTACAATTCACTTGCCTTCTGATGTCAATACGAAAAATGATAATAGCAAACAATTGAAATTAGAAATGGAAAATTCATCAAAATCAGATATCAGTTCATCAAGGTCAAGGGGTTCATTAGGAAAGCAGGATGCAGAAATGGAAGACAACAACATTGCAATGACAGAAGAAGAGGAGGCTGCCTTTGCTGTTGCTGAGGCAGCACGTGCAGCAGCACTTGCAGCTGCGAAGGTTATCTTTTAATCTTCTTTTTATTGAATGTTTTAGTCACCGTGTTTGTAACGAGTCTTCCTTGGTATGTCCTTGCAATAACAGTTAGTCCTCATGGGCTACGTCACTTCAGCTCCTAATAATATTAATGGGAAGTATCATCATGGATCCTTGCCACGTTATATAGTTTTCACTTCAGTGAAATATTTTAATTCGTTGGTGTGAATATGGACTAAATGAAGTAGCAGTAAGTCATTTTACGTACACCTTATGCAAATTGACATGGCCTTGATGCTATATAGCTTGTTAAATAAAATCTTACTTCGAACATATCAACGTTGGTTTCTGTTTCACTAGTGACAGGAATCTTGTGCTAGTTTTGAGGCGTGATGTGACTTTTATACCTTATCTATGGAGGGATGCTGCAGAGTTTCTGTAATCTCATTAAGATAATTTTTTAAGTGATCACAAAAATTGGCAAGCTTATGTTATATAGGATCTTGAAACTGTATTCAGATAGTCTATTTGTATCACTGATTTCAATCTTACTGGAATTCAAATTTGTTAACCTGGTTTATAGGAGATTTGTGAATGTCATTCCTGATTGCATGTTATGACTGCTTTAGACTGACTTGGTGATTTTCACACCGCAGGCGTATGCATCTTCTGAAGCTAAGTGTGCATTGCAGCTCCCTAAAATCCCTTCCTTTCACAAATTTGCTCGAAAGGAGCATTGCGCACAAATGGATGAGTGTGAGTCTAAAAGGAAGTTGTCTGGCAGTGTGCTAGGAAGACAGGATTGTATATCAGAAATAGATTCAAGGAATTGCAGGGTCAGGAACTGGTCTGTGGAATTTTCTGCTGCTTGTGTTAATCTCGAAAGTTCACGAATGTCTGCAGATAACCTTTCGCAAAGGAGCCATTCAAATGAGATTGTTAGCCAATTAAACTTCAGGGAGCACTCCGGTGAAAGTGCCCCTGTGGATAGCAGTATATACACGAAAGCATGGGTTGATACAGCTGGCAGTGTTGGAATGAAAGATTATCATGCAATTGAGAGATGGCGGTCTCAAGCAGCTGCAGCTCATGTAAACGACGAGGAGGATTCAAACACTGCTGGGAATAAACCCACTTGGAATAGTGATCAATTAGCGAATGAAAGCTCGATATCACAAGTGACGATCAACAAGGAGCCTTTAAGAAACCATCATCGTGGGGCTGACAGAATTAAGCAGGCCGTAGTTGATTATGTTGCATCACTCTTGATGCCCCTTTACAAAGCAAGGAAAATTGACAAGGATGGATACAAGACAATTATGAAGAAAAGTGCAACCAAGGTTAGTAATTTCCATATTCCCTAGTACATTCTTCCACCGAAACAACCGGGACGTGTGTGTTTTATTCCTTTTTTTTGGGTGGGGGGGGGATGGGGGGGTTGTGGAGGAATAAAATGGACTATATGTTTAACCAGTTTCGACCAAAATCAGGTCATGGAACAGGCTACTGATGCAGAGAAAGGCATGACTGTTTCTGAGTTTCTTGATTTCAAACGTAGGAACAAGGTTTGTATATAGCTTACTGAGTGCACTTTGTTGTTACATTTTGGTCTTTCCACTGCTCTGTTCCTTATCTGTCGACTTGGCTTTTCTTGGATTATGCACTTGCAGATTCGTGCCTTTGTTGATAAATTAATAGAGAGGCATATGGCTACGAAGCCAGTAATGGACTCATGACAGTCCCGAGGATTTGTCGTTATTTTCTTGGTCAATAACAAAGGCGTGATAGTCCCAACGATCAACTGGCTTTCTTGACGAGCTTCTCAAGAGGACACGCTTACGAGTTATTCATTTTATTCTGGGAAGACTCCAAGGTATATTTTGGCATGAAAGCTTCTCATAACTTGACGCCTGATTTACATTTCCAGTGCGCCTTAATTTCTGAAGCTGCAATTGAGAAGTATGACATTTCTGCTTGTGTAATCATGATGTGGAGTTTCCATGATCTACCAAGATTTTAATCGTGCGATCGAATATGATTATAACTTGCACGTGGGGTTTAAATGTGATTATGATTGGCATCGAATGACAGTCCGATTCTGCATAATTCTTTTAGCATGGCTTAATTTTATGTCGTTCATCGGGCCCACTCCAGGTGTCTTTTTCTTGCTCATTTCGGTTATATGAGCGCCTGTTGAAGAAAACATCACATTGTACTATAAAGGTGCAAGATCAAGCCCTTCAGTTTTTAGCGATGGACCTTAGGTTATGCTTCATTTTCTTTTCTTCCTTTCCCCTCTGCACATGTACAGCTTAGAATTATTTCATTGACAACAATCACAGTAATTTTCATTTATTCACCAAAATTTCGCTCGAATATTGTAATTTACCTGTCGTTTTTTTCCGTAGATTAACTAAAGAAGCCTTCGTGGCCATTTTTCGTTTCTAATCGTGACTCTTTCTGATATCGAAGTCCTCATTTAGTATAAGGGCTATTGTTATAGTTGAGATATCAAACTGTAGACTTCATTGTCAGTGCTTCTGTTGTTCCGGATGAGATCTATCTGCTTATGCGACTTGGAGAAAAAACAAATGCAATGTTCGGACCGACACGACTGTAAGTAGTGAATATTTCCTTCCCCTTTCTTTCTCTTGCAATTTTATTGTCAGCTCACTTTACAGTTTACAATTTTTTTGTGTTGCTATGTTTGCAGATTGTAGGTTGCTTCTCTCATCCCCATAAATAGGTATCTTTCTTTTAGCCTAATGATAGATCCTCAACTTATTGTAGCTGTTGCATATATGTATATAGATTTTGTAATGTCATGGATAGAAGTATGATCTAAAGTAAGCATGTGACCTCGGTATGTGATTCGTGATCGAGGCCAATATCCATTATGAAATCATGCATTTAGGATCGTGGGCATGTTCCAATCGTGTTATTCCAATAAATTGAAGGTTTGAAGTCCCGTCCTAGTCTTTTATAACGTGTCACAACTCGAAAGAAGAAAACGACAAGAAAGAAACACGTGCTTTTGTATTTCTTACTCTTCTTCAGATTCAGTGTTTATGCAACTGATCCATCAATTTGCAGTTCTTTAGTTCTTATTCTCAGTGCAACAATCCTTCTGGTGTTTGGTGAGTAGCAGGAAAGTTGAATTTAATACCCATCTGATGGTCTGTTTTTATGATGCTTCATTCTTTGTGAATCTTTTGTTAGCAGAAGAACATAACTTCGATCTCGTCACTTGTGAATGGTAGCTCGATGCGATCGAATTGACCGACTCGGTGACTGGTTCTTCCTAGTTTTTGCTTCACTTTATTGCCTGTCGTGCTAGTATCCTTTTAAAAATGATGCGGTCTTTTCCGGTATTCAATTATTTATAAAGGCTAAATTATTATAGGAACGAAGCGAATGGTGCTCGGATGCTCAAATAGTACTAGAAATTCTCCGTAGCTCGAAACTTAATTGCTCAGATAGTATTAGAAATTCTTCGTAGCTCTAAACTTAGTATAAGGTCGGGACGTTTAAAGGAATCCCATGGTCGTATAAAGTTCAATAGCTTCTATTATTTGTAACTTTTTGAAAACATTTGAACATATTGTAAAAGTTCTGTTTATAAAGTTTGAATGATTATTTTGAAAATAATATTAAATGACGATATGATTGAGTTGCATTACGTTCAGGCACGCTGGCAAGATTGGGCCTATTGTTGGCCCATTATTTACATCTTATTCTGCTCGCGGCCCAATTATGTTCCTTGATTGGGCCTTCATATGGCCCAGTGGGAAGCCCAGCTGTAGGACCCGATTGTGTTATTCGTAGGCATATAATAATAGTAGTAATAAATAATAATGTAAATTCGTGATAGCGTGAGTATTTCAGAGGGCTGGGGAGAGAGAGATCTGATCCAGTCGGAGAACTTCTTCATCTTCACCGTCGAACACAGAAAAGATGTCGTCAACCTTCAGCGGCGATGAAACGGCGCCCTTCTTCGGCTTCCTCGGCGCTGCTGCGGCCCTCGTCTTCTCCTGTGAGTTATCGTTTGTTCAATGCGGTTAATTTGAGTTTTCTGGGTGTGGATCTTTGATTTGTATGGCGATGGTGTTTCTTGTTGTTTTTGAATCGATTAGGTATGGGAGCTGCTTACGGAACGGCGAAGAGTGGGGTGGGAGTTGCGTCGATGGGAGTAATGAGGCCTGAGTTGGTTATGAAGTCGATTGTGCCGGTGGTTATGGCTGGAGTTTTGGGTATTTATGGGCTTATTATTGCTGTGATTATCAGTACGGGGATTAACCCTAAGGCCAAATCTTATTACCTCTTCGATGGCTACGCGCATCTTTCCTCTGGGCTTGCTTGTGGCCTTGCTGGTCTATCTGCTGGCATGGCTATTGGGATCGTCGGCGATGCTGGTGTTAGGTACTATTTGTTAACGTTTTGGGATGTTTTATTGTCGTCGTGCATCCATTTTTCCCGTCTGTTCACTGTTTTTCACTGATTATCGCTTGATTCGTACATTTTTCCCGTCTTAGTGTTAGTACATTATGTTCTGGTGGATTATGGTCTGTATGTTTGGTGCGATTAGGTTGTTGTAATTTGCGTAAGCTCTGCCAATCAAATAAATTGTTTCTGGTTGTAGTGCGATAATCTTCGCATGGTTGAGTCTGTTTGTTAATTGCCCATTTTATCGAGTTCCTGCGTTTTTTTCTGGGTTTCTAGGAGCTGTGCACGGATATTTACATGTATTTTTTATTTTCAGATATTCTATTCTGGTCTTGTCATTTGGAGATTAGCATAAGAACTCGTTTTGGTCTATGAAGTTAATTTTTGTTATGTATTTGGCCAGAGTCTAAGTGGCATCTATTTGACTTGTATTTTGAAACTTATGCTTAAGCTTTTATATTGGGTGTGGAAATGTGTTGCTGAAGACTTATGTTCAAACGTATTGCACAAATGAATTTGTATGAGACTCAGAATCAGAACCCTTTTGTATCATGAGTAGAACAAATTAAGTGTGAGTTCATAATAGTTTGCAACATGTAGCTTGCCGGTATTTGTCTGTATTTTGTTTTCTCGAACCCTTTCGATGTAAAATGCACTTGTCACTTATACTTGTCCTCTACAGAGCCAATGCACAGCAGCCTAAGCTTTTCGTTGGGATGATTCTTATTCTAATTTTTGCCGAAGCTCTGGCTCTCTACGGACTTATTGTTGGCATTATTCTCTCTTCCCGAGCTGGTCAGTCGAGAGCTGATTAATTGGATGCTTTGTGCGTGGACTGGAGTTTGTGTAGTATGTCTCCTCTTTTTGTCAAGAATTGGTTTTGTACTCTTTGAGTAAATGGGTTACTATCATTAAGCTTGCTTACTCTCTTAATTGTTTTTGTGAGGTGTGATTACTGTACCACACGGATCTTGTAGTAGCTATGTGGATTTGGAATTAATTATTCTTCTCAATAAAGATTAAACTTTATTACCTTAACATTGCTCTTGGTTTGCTGAAGCTTCCCTCTTAATTGTGTAGACGCCTTTTTGTTCCTAGGATTGTGTTTGATAAAAATATCTTATTGAGGTAGTTACCTGTTGATGGCTAGATATCTTTAGCGATTGAATGATTAGAGTTTGTGTGAGATCCCACATCGGTTGGAGAGAGAAATGAAACATTCTTTATAAGGGTGTGAAAATCTTTCCCTAGCCGTGTTTTAAAATCTTTAAGAGAAGCCCAAAAGGGAAAGCTCTAAGAGAGACAATATCTGCTAGCGGTGAGCTTGTGCCGTTAGAGTTTGCAAATAGTTCTATCTCTTATACAAATACATAATTGTACAACCTATAGAAGAGACCTTGTTCAAGTTAGGGTATCTGATAGTTTTCAATTCTCCATTCTTATTTTGCTTGTGATCGATATGTAAGAGTAGGTTTCAGCAGATTATCTCGACAATCAAGTGGGGTAGAGGCTGAACACGAGCTTTCGTACGTGTTTAGAGCAAGCAATCCTATCATGAGATTACATTAGGGAGGCATAAGCTTAGCACAGTCTATTTCCATCATTGTTTTTGGTTCTTAGTTGCTAATAGTCATAACCTAGGGGCATCCATGGAGAGGGACAGGTGGGATGAGAAAGATACCAACAATGGAAAAGCTGTTTGGTATTATTATCCTTCCTTTACTGTAAAGGGAAATGGATGAATATTCTGTAGGTAAGTTATGCTGCTGTGGCTAATAGAGAGCCGACTTCTCTTTTATGCTTGCACCTCACGCAGCTCTTATCTTTTTAGCATCTCTGATGTGTTCTTTAGTTTCTTTCATTTTCAGAATGTCTTTGTTTTTCTTTGTTTTTCAGTTCAGCTTCTTGGCCTGGAATGGCCTCTTTTCTCTTGTTTATTTCTTGTTAGTTTCACTCCATGCTAGCTTCTTCTTGGACATGTTCTTCCGTGCGACGTCTCGCATTCGAGATAGCCCTCTCGAGAGCTTGATAATGAGCACAAAATCATTTGTGCAATGATGTCGAGACTCGAGTTAAAATCAAACAATAAAACTATCTCTTACATGAAAAAAATACCAATACTTTTTCGTAAATTTAATATTATCTTTGATCTTTAAAAAAACATTCAAAAATTATTATTGGAATATATATTCGCTAGAATATTAGATGAATGTTTGTTTAATCTAGTATAAAAAAACGATATTAGAAAGAAACATTGGCATATCGTTCAACATTTTTGTAACGCCCTAAACCCACCGCTAGCAAATATTGTTCTCTTTGGACTTTCCCTTTCGGCCCCTTCAAGGCTTTAAAACGCGTCTGTTAGGAGAAGGTTTTTACACCTCTTTTCGGTCTTCCCCTCAAGGCTTTAAAACGCGTCTGTTAGGGTAAGGTTTCGGTTTTCACACCCTTGTAAAGGGTCTTTTCGGTCTTCCCCTCAAGGCTTTAAAATGCATATGTTAGGGGAAGGTTTCCACACCCTTTAAAGGGTCTTTTCGGCCTTCCCTCAAGGCTTTAAAACGCGTCTCTTAGGGTTTTCGGCCTTCCCTCAAGGCTTTAAAACGCGTCTCTTAGGGGAAGGTTTCCACACCCTTATAAAGGGTGTTTTCGGCCTTCCCCTCAAAGCTTTAAAATGGGGTCATTTTGGCCTTCTCCTCAAAGCTTTGAAATGCGTCAATTAGAGGAAGGTTTCCACACCCTTATATAAGGTTTTTTTTTTTTTTTTTGTTCTAGACATCACAATTTTAGTAATGTTTATGAAAGATGAGAATAATATTATAATTTTGAAAAAAAAAATATTTAGAAAGATCCAAAGCTTGAATATTTTTTATAATCTATTTTTTTTCTTAAATATAATTCTTTTTTTAAAAAAATTTAAAAATACTCTTAAAAATTAAGATTAAAAAGTTTAGAAATATTCTTAAATATTTTGTATAAATTTTAATTTGTATTATTAAAAAAAAAAATGAGATATTTTGAGATATTAATTTATCAATTTTGTTATATTAGTTTGGGTTTTGGTTTTCCTAATCGATTATTCCAGATAACGTGGAGAGATTTTATAGAATCGAAGAGAAGAAAGGTCAGTATCTGAAGAGAAAGCTAAAGCACAGTGAGAAGAAGAAGAAAAGAAAAAAGAATCTTCAGATCTGATCTAATCGGAGATCCTCCTCTTTGTTCCAACCGGAAAAAATGTCGTCAGCCTTCAGCGGCGATGAAACGGCGCCCTTCTTTGGCTTTCTAGGCGCCGCTGCGGCCCTCGTCTTCTCCTGTAAGAAAATTTTCATTCAATTCGATTGATTACATGTCTCTTGTAACGGATCTTGATTGGCTTTTGTTCTTGTGAATTAGGTATGGGAGCCGCTTATGGGACCGCAAAGAGCGGTGTTGGAGTTGCGTCGATGGGAGTGATGAGACCGGAATTGGTGATGAAGTCGATTGTTCCGGTGGTTATGGCGGGAGTTTTGGGTATTTATGGTTTGATTATTGCTGTGATTATTAGTACTGGGATTAACCCTAAGGCTAAATCTTATTACCTCTTCGATGGCTACGCGCATTTGTCCTCTGGTCTGGCTTGTGGTCTCGCCGGTCTCTCTGCTGGCATGGCTATCGGGATCGTCGGCGATGCCGGCGTTAGGTACTTTTCTTTAATCCGTTACTCTGAAATGTAGATTTAGATGTATTGTGGATGCTTCAATCTGGCTTGATCTCGTTTTTTGTGGTTTATTAACTTATCTTTTCAATTTGCTTCTGCTAATTTTCAACTTCGGTGAAAGTACTTTGATTGAAGATTTTGTTATCAGAGTCTATGTCACCATGATCAAATAATGGAATAAGATTGTTCTTGGGAAGGATTGCCTTTGTTGAGAATGAATTTAGCAATCAAGTTCAGTCTGATCTCAATTTAGGTTTAAGCTCAAAGCTCTGGATTCTTGCCTTTTGTGTTAAATTCGTTCTAGACTATTTCCTGCCTTAGTTCACTATTAATAGTCTAATGCTTCAAACCCTGAAAAGATTGATGGTATCACTATTGTTCTTGATCCCTTGATGTTTGCACATACCCTTTGCAAATCGAGCAATGTTTTTGTAACAATCCAAACCTACCGCTAACTGATATTATCCGCTTTGGCTCGTTACGATTGTCGTCAGCCTCATGATTTTTAAACACCTCAGTTGGATAGAGTTTTCATACCCTTATAAGGAATGTTTCGTTCTTCTCTCCCACCAATGTGGGATCTCACAGAATCATTCTTTATAAGAAAGGGTGTGGAAACCTCTCCCTGACAGACGGGTTTTAAAAATCTTGAGGGAAAGCTCGAAAGGGAAAGTCCAAAGAGGACAATATCGGCTAGTGGTGAGCTTGGGCTGTTACAAAAATGCTTTTAACGTAGAATGGAAGCATCTAATTGTATATGTCTTCTGCAGGGCCAATGCACAACAGCCTAAGCTTTTTGTTGGGATGATTCTCATTCTAATTTTCGCCGAAGCGCTTGCCCTTTATGGACTTATTGTCGGTATTATTCTCTCGTCCCGAGCTGGTCAGTCGAGAGCTGATTAATTGAACGTTTTGCGCTTTGAAAATGTGTATTATGTCTCTTTTTTCCTTCAAGATTTGTTTTTGTAGTTCTCTGATTAGAAATGGTCATAACTCAGTTTACTTTCTCAAATATTCGTATGTTGTTGTGTGGTTTTCTACCACACGGATGCTGTACTCATAAGGATTTGGAATTTATTATTCTTCTCAATAAACATAAAACCTTATTTCCTTGGCTGCTTATTGTGCTCAGTGTTGCTCTTCAATTTGTGCCTGTAGACTTCTAATTTGTGCTTCTGAAATCTCTGATGGGTAATGCAGTGTAGTTCATGGCTTGATACCTTTGATATTTGACTGCAATATCTTCAATGGAAACTGTGTTTCAATTTAGTTACAAGATTCATAGAAGTTTCATTCACATTTCTTGATTCAAAACAAAACTGGGTGATTCTATATCGGTTGAAGAGAGAAATGAAGTATTCCTTTTAAAGATATTGAAACCTCTTCCTAGTAGATATGTTTTAAAACCTTGCGGTAAGTCCTTAAAGGGGAAAGCCAAAGAGGATAATATGGGCTAACGGTAAGTTTGGGATGTTACAAATGGTATCAGAGCCAGTCACCGGGCGGTGTGCCAGGGAGGAATGTGGGGGTGGATTGTGAGATCACACATCAGTTGGACAGGGGAACGAAGTATTCCTGAGTCCCCAAGGGGTGGATTGTGAGATCCCACATCGGTTGGAGAGGGGAATGAAGTATTCTTGGGTCTCCAAGGGGGTGGATTATGAGATTCCACATCGGTTGGAGAGGGGAACGAAGTATTCTTGGGTCCCTAAGGGGTGGATTATGAGATTCCACATCGGTTGGAGAGGGGAACGAAGTATTTCTGGGTCCTCAAGGGGTGGATTGTGAGATCCCACGTCGGTTGGAGAGGGGAATGAAGTATTCTTGGGTCCCCAAGGGGGTGGATTATGAGATTCCGGTTGGAGAGGGGAACGAAGTATTCCTGGGTCCTTAAGGGTGTGGATTGCGAGATCCCACATCGGTTGGAGAGGGGAATGAAGTATTCCTGGATCTCTAAGGGGTGGATTGTGAGATCTCACATCGGTTGGAGAGAGGAACGGAGTATTCCTTATAAAGTTGTGAAAACCTCTTCCTTTCCTTGCAAACATGTTTTAAAATTTTGAGTGAAGTCTTTGAAGTAAAAGCCCAAAAAGGACCATATCTACTAACAATGAACTTGATCTGTTACATGAACTATGCCTATCTCTTGTCTCTATCATCCATGTTATCGGTGCAAGTGACATGAAACATTCTTAGATCTACTTGATAATTGGGTAAGAAATTAGAGTTCAAGAAGAATGGTTAGTTTGTCTTTTCTCAATCAAAGTCCACATGATGATATATAAGTATTTAGTTGAAGTTTTTAAAAATTCATCGGAGTTAATAGACTCAATGTCAGACTCAATGTCAAAATTATGAATGTATGGTTTATTTGTTTTAAATTCTAAGTTTAATACATGAACGGAAGTTTGCGTTTATTTAATCTCTAAACTTTTAAAGTTACTAATTTTATCTCTAAACTTTTAAAGTTACTAATTTTATCCCTTATATTTTAAAATAAACTTTTTCAGTAAAATTTAAATTGGTATCTTATAGTTTTATTAAATTTAATTTTTTTTTAATTTGTCATGGATTTATTAATGATGATATATTTAGCTAATAGATTAATATTTGAACTTTATTGAACTAAAAAAATGTATATTTTGGAAAAATTAATAACAATCCTACAAAATTCTTTTGAAATTATAGTCAAATATTAAAAATTTATAAATATATATTTCTAGCCAAAAGTAGCCGAAAATATTTTCGAGGTTAATTGTTAGAATCAGTTACTTACCAAGAAAATAAAGCATATTTGTTTTTTCTTTTAAAAAATATTTTAATTTTAAATGTATTTTAACCTTTATTTTTATTTATTTATTTATGAAACTAAGAAAATTATTTTTCTAAAAACATGTTTTAAAATAAAAAGAATAATTTATTTCCACGCAACGTCACTGCGGATGTGTAAGCGTCTAAAGGGATCTAGAAGCCCCCAAGGAGCGGATGTAACAAAAAAATCCCAATTTTGTATTCTTCCACGCCTCTGCAGCCAGTAATCACCGCCGCGGGAGTGGAAATAACAAATTAATTTGTTAAAAAAAAAAAAACAAAAACAAAAATTGTTTATTTTTATTTTCAATTTTATTTTAAAAAAATTAATTTGCTTCCTCACCAAGGCGGCGGAGTCTATTGGCGGGCGAGGACCGTGCAGTATTTTATAGGACGGAAGTTGAATCGCAGAAGAATGGTTGAATTTTCATTCGTTCATGACCGTAAATCGATTGCGGATTTCGAGCTAAATTGCTAAAATGGCGGAAGAAATCAGTAAGGCCGACCTCGGAATTTCCACTTCTATCGCAGACAGCGCGAAATCGAGATCTTTTTGGCCCTCTAGTCTCCGTTGGATTCCCACTTCTACCGATCATATCATCGCCGCCGAGAAGCGGCTTCTCTCTCTTGTCAAGTAATGCTGTTTTCTCTCTCTCTCTTTTCTTCTCCTGAAACCCTAGTTAATTCTTAATTTGGTGTTTGGAATTGTGGCTGGGACCAGATTCTTAAGATGTGATTGAATTTTAGTTGCCTTGCACCTGTTAGAATTTTGGATATTTGCGGTGTAATTTGTTGTGATTTTTTAAAAACGTATGGAGTGAATTGCAAATTTCGAGTTTTCGAAGACGACATTTCTCATCTCTTTGAATTTGAAGTTCATCTCTTACATTTGATGCACTTTGGAAATTTGGATCAAATACTGATTAGTTATCATTTAGTAGCTTCACTTGGAATGGAAATAAATATGATTTGCAGTCCATTTCGTGACAATTTATTCTCTCTTTATTTATGATATTAAATTTTGTTCAATTTCAGGACTCCGTATGTCCAAGAACGTGTTAACATTGGTTCTGGTCCACCAGGATCGAAAGTTAGATGGTTTCGTTCTGCGAGTAACGAGCCTAGATTTATCAACACCGTGACATTCGACAGCAAAGCTGATTCTCCGACACTTGTAATGATCCATGGTTATGCTGCTTCTCAAGGATTCTTCTTCCGGAATTTTGATGCTCTTGCCAGTCGCTTCCGGGTCATCGCCATCGATCAACTAGGGTGAGCTCAATCTTTTAAGATAAATCTCATAGTTAGATGGTTTAATTTGATAAGATATACCCATGTTGTATTCCTTCGCTGTATTCTGTGCCCATCTTTTGTTTCATCTGCACATTTGTTCTTCAAATGACTCCTTGAATATCAGGTTCTTGGCCGTCAATAAGGGCTGTCTATTTCATTAAATTTTTTAATGTCTGAGCAGAGCATAACTTTGTTCTGAAGTTTCTTTACTTGCGTGTTTGTAGGTGGGGAGGATCTAGCAGGCCTGATTTTACATGCAAAAGCACAGAAGGTTGAGTAATTACTTCCATTCGTATCTCCTATTGCTTGTAATTATTATTACTTGGAAGTGAAATAAGCTTTATACCTTTCATTTATAATGATTTATGTTCTACTAAGGTTCTGATTATTATATTGGTGATGCAGAAACTGAAGCATGGTTTATTGACTCTTTTGAGGAATGGCGAAAAGCAAAAAACATCAGCAATTTTATTTTACTTGGGCATTCATTTGGTGGATACGTTGCGGCTAAATATGCTCTCAAGGTGATTGCGTTTTCTATTCAACTTTTGAAAATGAAGTATTTATGATCGCATTTGTGATTTCTGAGGTCTCTTTCATTGTCTTGTTCAGCATCCTGAGCACATCAAACACCTGATTTTAGTAGGACCTGCTGGATTTTCTTCAGAGTCAGATGCTAAGTCTGATGAGACGATTACCCGGTTTAGAGCTACTTGGAAAGGAGCGATTTTGAGTCATTTGTGGGAGTCAAATTTTACTCCACAGAAGCTTGTGAGGTATTTTATATTTTTATTTATATTTTAAGTTTCCAGTTTATTAACTACTTTGACTAGATCCGTTGCCATACTTTTAAGTGTTGGGATCTTTTCTATGAGATCCCACATCGATTGGAGAGAGGATGAGTGTCAACAAGGACACTGGATCGAAGGGGGGTGGATTTTGAGATCCCCACATTGGTTGGGGAGGAGAATGAAACACTCTTTATAAGGGTGTGGAAACCTCTTCCTAGCAGACACGTTTTAAAAACCTTAAGGGAAAGCCCAAAGAGGATAATATCTGCTAGCGGTGGGCTTTCCTTCAAGGTTTTTAAAATGCGTCTGCTAGAGAGAGGTTTCCACACCCTTATAAAGAATACTTTCGTTCTCCTCCTCAACCGACGTGAGATCTCACAATTTCTTGGTTTGTTCATACCAAACAAAATAAGAGCTCACGGTTTCTAAGGTCATCATCTGACCTTGTAAACTCAACAGTATTCAGTAGACTTAATGAAGTTTGTCTTTCAATCAATTTCAATTTTGGTGTAGGTAGTTGGTACATTTTGGGTGAAAGTATTATAAGGGGAAATTTTAGACTCATTCTTAGAATCTCAAGAAAAGAAAAAAAGAAACTAGCCTTATACTGTTGTTCTGTGTCATTATTTGGTATATTCACAATATTGAACAATAATTTTTAGGCCGTGCCACTATATTACCTTGCTTTTAGCATATTCAAGTTACGACTGCTAATCTCATGCACTCTAAATTTCTCAGAGGTTTGGGCCCTTGGGGTCCTAATCTTGTTCACAAATATACAAGTGCTAGATTCGGGACATACTCAATTGGGGACATATTGAATGATGAAGAATCCAGATTGTTATCAGGTAATGGATTGATGAAGAGTTGAGTATTTGGCACAAACATATGATTTGTTTTGACATTCCTTTTTTCCAAATGAAGATTATGTCTACCACACGTTAGCAGCCAAGGCTAGTGGAGAATTGTGCTTGAAATACATATTTGCTTTTGGTGCATTTGCTCGGATGCCTCTTTTACAAAGGTTTGATAATATTAATTCATTTCTTTAATTTAAAATTGTTTTATACCCCTTTTGGTTGAAATTGTGTGGAGTAATTTTTCTTTCTGGTCCAATTCTTTGCAAAAAAGTATGATTATATTCATGAGAAATAAATACCATTGATGTGTTGAAATACACAAACAAAAAGGGAAATTCGAGCGGTAGAAGTTACAAAAGGCCCGCCT